GAGCAACCAATTATCCTTAGTTTGAGCTCATTTTCGAGGAAATGAAAACACTCTTCAGTGTGAGTTATTCAGTGAGACTTATGTTGGCTGTTCGTGCGTCTGTCTTCCTTTACGTTGCTACTCGCTTGCTCGTGTACGAATGACTACGAAACGTTATTGATCTTCGATTATTTATCATGGCCGAGTTAAGGCTCTTATCAGCATAAGTGTTGATTGGTTAAAAGAGGAATGAAAGTCATATAAGTCGATAAGAAACTGAACGATCTGTGACAGTTTGGATTTCATTGAATCGAAATGTGTCAGTCATCCTTGAATCATGGACGACACCACAAAATTGACAGATGAAATATGGAACGATTAATTTTGTGATAATTTTTGCACAAATTTGATTGTCACATGTGGTCGTTTATCATGTGAATAATGTGAGATTAATGCGAAAGGCGTTGTTGACAGAGTAAACAACCGTTTGAATGCAAAGTTGTTTCAATAAGAAAAATGTTGTACTTTGATGGTGATTATTTGCGATATGGATTCGTTATTGCATTTGTGATTGATAGCGATACTGATAAGGTGATTGCTGTTAAGGTGTGGAGGCAGCAGCACCAGAGGAAGCAGAAGAAGAACAAGAAGGAAGAAGTGCTTTATGCCTATCACACACATATCAGTGTGAGTTGAAGATAGTTTCGGTGGGTTGTGAGGAGCGTTTAAAATCAGCAGCCAGCTGGACTGAACAGCTCATTGGCCAAACAAGATACCCCTCCCTTCATTCATTCGTTCACTCAACACTTAATTACTTCGCTGTTCCAGTTCGATTAGGCAAACAACAACCGAAGAAAATGCCCTCGTCAAAATGCGCTCATATGTTGAGCGCTAAGAAAAAATACGAACGAGTCGGCCATCTGATTCAATTCGCTAAGACGGCAACGAGGAATCAGGTGAGCCTAAATGTTTCCTTCAAACATGTGCATTTCCACGTCTTTTATGTGTTTTAGCGTATGCAGGTAGCTGCTATTTGGGTACGGTCTCTCAATTTTATCGGGGTTGCTGTGTTGAAAAGGTAAAGTTTAGCAAAGTGTCTGCAAACTCTAGCAGGCAACTGACGTACAATAATTAAATAGCATTGGTTCCTGATCCCTTTGCTTCAACGGTAACGCTCCAATTCGAAGAGATTGTGTTCTGATTGTATGATTGTGGGAATATCTGTTGTAGCGGTCGCCCGATTCAAAGTTT